TGAATATTTATTAAATAAATATATTTTTTAATATTAAATAAAAAGCATTTTAGAAGTTTTAAGTCTTAAAAATAATTAAATGTGTGAGTATATATGTATTTATTTAGATTAAAGATGAGTGCTGAAATATAATAGTACCTAAATATCTTTGGAATTTGACTAGAGTATATACTATTTGGGATTTTATTATTTTTCTAAACTCTAAATATTTGCTGATACTCTAAATAGTTGCTGATACTCTAAATAGCTATTAATACTTTAAATAATTATTAATACTTACATACTAATATTTTTCTTTTCACATACTAATCTTTTTTATAAATTACATTATTTATTTATATGTTAACATTTTTTGTTATTTGTTTATATACTAATATATATTATAATAACAATTTAAGATATGTATATATATATTAAATAATATTAGTTTCATGCTAATTATTTTTTGTTATTTATATTATTATGTATTAAATTTGGACTTGTATAAAGATAGTATATAAAATATTTATTAGATAATTATATAATTATTTTACATAATAAAAACACTATATATTTTATAAACCAAAATTATAATTTGATTTTAATAATTTGATTAATTCAGTTTTATAATAATTTAACTTGGTTTTATATTAATATTTGAATAATTTAATTTTAATAATTTGATTGATTTAGTTTTATAATAATTTAACTTGATTTTATATTATATTTTAATTAATTTGGTTTCATAATAATTTTATGTTTTTACAAAAATAATATAAAAGCATATTTATTATGGTAGATTAAAAATATTTCATAAAATATCAGATATAGCATCAAATATTACTGATAATAGTAGTGATGAACAAGACACAAAAAATACTGGTGGATGACCTCATGCATCAATTTGATATTTTTATCTTGAAGATGCAGAAAGAGATAAAAACCATTATGAGACTACATATTTAGCATGTAATAAAAAATAATTTCGTGAAAAATTTTCTATTATGAAATGACACATTTTAACTAAATGTAAAAAAGTTTCAAATGAAATAAAATCTATAGTATGACATATAGTTAAAGAATGATAAAAACCAACACTCAACAAGTCCAAAAAATGAATTTGAGATAATGAAACATTAGATAATTATTTTGAAATAAAAGAATTATCTAAAGAAAAAAAAAAGATATTGAAAAATCTTTAGTTCAATTTTTTATATGTTGTGATATTTCTTGATAATTAATTAAACATTCTTTTTTTATTAATTTTATCAAACAATTACATCCTTCTTATAATTTACCAAATCATCAAACTATTTCAAACCATCTTCTTAATATGAAAATTTTGTGAGTTCATATAAAACTTTATCAAATTTTAGAGTCTGAGACTAATTTAACTTTGGGTAAGTTTATTTTTAATATTTATTTGCCAATATATTTATTTAATATATTTTTATTTTTTTTATTTTAATATTAGATGATTGGTCAAGTCCAGCAGAAAAATCTTTGTGGAATTTTATAATTTATATATCTGATGGCAAAGATATTTTTTGGAATATTCAAGATTTCTTGCACAAAAGTCATACAGCAGAATTTCTTGTTGAATAAATTAAAATAGTTTTGAAAGATATTGGAGTTGAAAAATTCATAGTAATTATTACTGATGCTGGATCTAATATCAATTTATTCTGTCAAATTATTACATGAAAGTATCCATATATTTTAAATATTCATTATATTATACATTACTTAAATCTTATTATCAAAGATTTAGTCAAACATAGTTTTGCTATTCAAATTTTGAATTAGTCAAATACTATTATAACTTATTTCAAAAAAAATCATTTACCATGAAATCTTCTTGAGACAAAAATTCAAGATAAAAAAATCAAAGGTGGAGATCTTAAAACTTACTTGAAAATCTGATGAACAATAGTATATGAAATACTTTCTTCAATTTGTCATTTAGAAACATATTTAAAAGAGGTAAATTTTAATAAAAAATAAATTTTCAATTTTGTATTTTTAATTAATTATTTATTTTTAAGGTTCTTAATGAAAATTCTAATATAATTCAAAATAAAGTAGTTAAAAGTATCATTTATATAAGTGAGATTTTTTTCAAGATATCAATAATCTAGCAATGGTTATAAAACCAGTAAAAGAAATAATTATTTCTTTGGAAAGACAAAATGCAAATATAGCAGATTATTTTTTTGATTTTGCCCATCTAGGTGTTGTAATTAAAAAAATTCCAGAAGAAGATCACAAAATATTTTAACATCATTGTATTTAAGTTTTTAATACATAATTTGAAGAATTTGATTTTGATGAGCATTTACTTGCTTATTTTCTATATTCAAAGTATAAAGATAAATATTAAATGTTATAAATTTTTAAAATTATTTAAGCTTATCATTTTTTATTAGGAATTAGAATTATGTCAGAATAAATAGAATGAATTAGAACTACTATAACTACCATCTGATAATAAATAATTAAAATCAAAGAAATTATCAAAATTCTAAAGCAAAATAATTATTCAAAAAATCAAGCTGGAGAAGTATTAATTGCCTAATTATGCTAGTATTATGAAAAAAAACCACCATATAACAGTTCTTATACATCTAATTATAATACTTCTTTAACATAGTTGAATAATTATAAAATGAAACCACCCTATTTCAATAACTTACCATTAAACTGTTTTTAATATCATCTTATGTAGCAAGCTGTAAGCGTGTTTGGTCTATTTGTAGATAGATTCATAAAAAATATCATGGTTAATTATTAGTAGAAAATTTAAAGACAATTGCGAAAATTTATTCTTATTATCTTGTAAATAACAAGTCAAAACTTTTGTATTATGATCAGCTGATGAAATTCATCAAATTTTGAAAATAACTAATCTTTACGATGAAGAAGAAGATATTGACTTGGATCAGATTATGCTAGATGTGAATTTGAAAAGATCAAATATAGATGATGATAGTGAGATATTACCAGAGCAATTTTTGAAATTGCAAGACATGATAAATTTAGATAATCCTACCCTAAATGATCCAGTTGATAATGAAAAAAAAGTGGAAAATCTACAAGAAAAAAATAATAAATTAGATGAATGGATATTGGATTTTGAACAAGAGAAGGATTATAATCCTAAAACTATTGTTAATCTTTTTGTAAACCAAGAATAGAATTCAAATTTAAATTAGATAATAAATTTGTTATTAATTAATTTTATTTAATTATTAAAAGCATACTATAAAATTACAGTTACTATTCAGAATATGCTGATTACAAACCAGTAATATGTAAATTATCTTTTACTCTTGGTAAGTACTATAAAAAGTTCAGCAATATAAGAATAAAAGGGTAAAAAAGGGAGAAAGCAAAATAATATCATAAATTTATTTTGCATATAAACTAACATGTGAATTTTACTCAACATGAATCACACTCATAATCTGCTATTATTGTATAATAAAATAAGTAGAAAATCAATTAGAAGTGATACACAAAAATATAAATATGGTACAATTATCTTACTATATATATTTTGGTAGTTGATATAAGTTTAGAGAATCAGAAATGGTTTGGAGAATTGGAAATAGTTTGAGAAATCAGAAATAGTTTGAGAACAATATATTTAAAATCCAAAATCTCTTGGTTCAGTTTAAAAAGAGTTTTGGCACTCATATATAATTTAGATTATATAACTTAAACTAATATTAATGTGAAAAACTAATTTTAAAATAAATATTTAAGTTAACTATTAATATATTATTACTATAGTAACATAAAATTCCTTAATCTTTCTCTAGTTATACAAAATCATATATTTCTATATTTTTCTTTTACTTTATAAATATTTCTATTTCTATATCATGTATTATTATATTTATTATCACATTTTTATTTTTGAATATTATATTTTATTTAATATTCAGAATCTATATTTTTATTATCTTGTAATATAATATTCATATATATAGTAGAATAGTATAGTGAAAGATCATTTTTAATTTTGGTAGAACAGTTATACTTGGATGATGATCTCAAACATCTTTTCTCATCCTTTAATATCCTTCAATATTCTCTCATATTCTTTCACATCTTTCTACATCTTTCAATATCTTTCCATATCTTCTCACATCTTTTTACATCTTTTAATATCCTTTTACATACTCTAATATTCTTTAATATTCTTTGACATCTTTCA